TCTTGCTTAAATATATCCGATCGGGAGTTATCGGTATTACAAAAGTTGCTTTCAAATGGGAGCATTCTAGTCTATTAAGGAAATTTTCTTCTCTTTTTCAAATGATCTCTGATTAATTGTTTGACATTTCGAAAGAAAAATAATATATTTTTATATTATTTATATAATTAATATTTCTATTGTTTTTTAATAATTATTTTCTTAAAATTTTAAATAAAAATATAACAATTGTTAAATAGAGATGACAAGACTAGAGATCAAAAGAATCGTAATGAGGCTATTCTCAGGCATTACTTGCAAAGACATAATATTAACAGAATGGCCGGTGGCTCGCGCATTAGTATGTGATTAGCACTATTAGACACGCCTATTCGGCAAGATTCTGCAGTATAAGCAGAATCTTTTTTATACGTGGTCTTTTTCTGATTACACGTATAAAGAATTCCATACGGATTAGACGATTGCGAATAAGGAAACTTATCGGGAATAATTTCTGATCGTTTATACAGCACGATATAAGAGAAATGGCAAAAGCATATAACGAAAAGAAGAAAAAAAGCGTTCCATCACGGGCCTCTTCGTCGAGTTTTCGTCACGTTATATCCTCTCTTTTATAGTGGCAAAGAAGAGGGGTGTACAACGAGAGAACTGAAAACATGATTAAAGATTCTCCGATGTGGGAGAAAATGGATTTCTGATACGCGTAATGCCACCCTATTTGGAACTATTACGCGTGAGTCCCCGGGTAAGCCCCCTATATCCATTCAGCCCCTGCTGGAAATATATTTACTAGATCAGAAGGTACTTACTTGCGACTTGGCACCCGCGCATGCCGTACCGGGTGGCATGTAAACAAGGAGAAGGGAGGACCTTCGTAATTCCCTCATTTTCTCTCAGATTATTCGCGCTAAATCCGCAAACCTTAATATATTAGAGTGACAGAAATTAAATTTTATATATATTTATATATATATATATATATATATATATATATATATAAAACATATATTAAAACATATTAAAACATATATATTAAAACATATTAAGTAACATGGGTATATATTTACAAAAAATATATATTTGTAATATATATATATATAATATATATATATATATATATATATACATATAAATAAATTGATATATTACAAATATATATTTTTTGTAAATATATACCCATGTTACTTAATATGTTTTAATTTAGGTGAACAAAGATTTATATCGCTATTTTAAATACACAGTTTGTATTTTTCTCATACATCTATATATATTTTATCAATATATAAAATCGACAAGTCAACTGTACCTATAAATCACGTTCGTCACGTCACGTAGAGCGTGAAAATTTTTTTGGTCGCCGCCAATGGTTTCCGCGGAGAAAAGAACATCGGCGTCGCGGCACGGCGAGAAAAATCGCTAATTGGTACATGGAAAATATAAACAAAACTGCCATGCGAATACCGATGATTTACTGCAAGGTTTGATTGAATTCATTCGACTCTGTTTACCCGCTTGCTGCTCGTACAACTCTCGCCCTTCGCGAGCCTCCGATGTTTAGCCTTTTTTTTCATTTATATCGTTGATTTTTTTCCTCACTCGCTCGTTCATCCGTTCCGACGTTGCAAAGTTGCTCGTTGTAAAACTGGGAACAGCGAACGATACGAACGTTTCCTGCTACCCTCCCCTTTCGTGCCCGTTGCAACCCCCAACCTTCACTTCGCCGCCTACTGCTTCATTTTATTCTATTTGATCCGACGGAATGGAAAGAGATATGCGAGCTCCAAAGGTATGATTTTGCAATCAAATCGCCTCTGTATATTTTCCTCCGTATCAATTCATTAACGAACGCGAACAACCGGAAGAATTCAAATGTGCCGATATAAAAACAATTTTAAATTATAACTATACGTTGATATATTAAAACAAAATAAAAGTTAATTTTTTTCCATTCATAAATGATACATTAAATTATAACTTTATATTATTAAATATCTAGTTATTGATGCGCGTGAGTGAAACATGATGTAAATAAATAATTATTGACAAAATTTTTTTTATGATGTATGGATTTGATAATGTATATATAACTCTTATTATATAATATTAATCTAAATTTAAAGAAATGAATCTTATTTTTCTTATGATATGTTACAATTAATAAAATAAATTGTTTTATTTAAAAATAGTCGAAGAATATATATTTTCGTATATTTAGAATGTAAAAGGCACATAACTTGAATTAATATTTCAATGACGTAAAGTATTATCTATCGGATATTTGAATGGCGATTCGAAATAAATTTTTCCGAGGAGGTTGACGCGAGCTCGCGAAAGTTGCCAACGGAAGAGAAAAATCTAATAGACTATCGGAATTGAATTTGATCCCCTATAAGAAACTAGCCCTTCTTGTACGCGTTCGCGTTACAACACCATCGATACTGCCGCCCCATCGAACTCGGAATGAAATCCAGTTCGCATTTGAATCAGTCGATAACGCAATCCATTAGCCCCTAACAGCCAATACTTCGAGGACGCGCGGAAGAAAACGACCTCCTCGTGTAAGGGAAAAAGAAAGAGGAATAAAGTAGTAGACGGCAGAGTCGCGACGGGAGTGTCGTAAATGATTAGTGTTGCCGATGAACGAATCCTATAAAAAAAAAGGCGAAGATCTATAGCCCGCCTATCTTTCCATTGCCGATTCTGGCAAGCGCGCGCTCTTACTCCCTCTTCATAGAACTTCCTGCGTAAGTAGAGTCATTTTGTTAGCGTCAAATTCTGAAAGCGGATCGCCCGATTTCTTTACTGGAAGCACCAAGCGCGGAATACTAGTCGGAATATTTCAATTACCTCTCTTTTTTTTCTCTCTTTTCATCCAGATATTTAATTTTTTCCTATTACTATATTCCTTTTAAAAATTCTTCCCTCTCGTTTCTTCGTTTAATTTATTTATTCCTCCATGTTTGACGTATTGGATTAAGTTAGAATGTTAAAATTAAACAAATTTATAATTTTTACCTTCTTATTTTAATTTTATTTATAGTTTACCCGAAACGATCGAAATAAACACGACGTATAAATATTCTGCTGTTGGGGTGGTTCTTTTTTTTTTAAATAACGGTGATACACGATTTCAATATAGATACAAAGTGAAACGTTCTCGATTCGAAGGCGGTTACCGACTCGTTTCTGTTGTCGTCGACGTCGTTAAAGGGGCGGCTTCGCGTCGTTCTCGCAATAGCGTAGATGCAAGTACGGTCGATGGTATTCCTATCTGGAAACGACTAGAGGCAGCGTCGTCGGGCAACGCCTCAGGCACGACGAAGATATCGTGTTTAGAGCAAGATCCACGGCCACGATAAGCCAAGCTACAATGCTTTGAATACCCATCCAGCATCGTGATAACATCTTAACGTTCTCTAAGAGTAAACGAAATTAAATTCGCTCGACGCTGCGAAACGCGCGTGACATTAGCCCGAACTCTCGCGCAGATACCTGAGGTCCACGTTTTCGCTGGATGCGAAAATGCGTGTAACGCGAGATCGATACCTTTCTTTCTCTTTCCCTTTCCATATCAGCGAATTCCCATTCCCTACATCCTGTCTCGCTCCTCATCCTTCCCCTCGCGTCCCCGTAGCGGATGCATTTCGTTTCTACCTTTCACTTTTGAGCTTTATGGATTTTCCGATCAGCGAGTTAGAGACTTTCGATGAAATCATCGCGGATATAGTAATAGAAATATTGTCTTGCTTCAAGTTTTCATGAACTATATACGTTATGAAAATATAAATCTATATCAAATTTTGAAAAAATTATTCAGTATCTTCTCTTACATTTCAGCCAATCATGCATCGTGATAAAACGAAAATCGAATTAAATAAAAGTATTTACTATGTCGAAGAGTATCAATCGCGATCTTTTTTGCAAAATTTTTAGCATACATGCGTGAGAAACAAAAGCAAATGTGCAAAAAAGGTATGCGTTGCTTCAAGGTATGCGTTTGATTTTTCCATGAAGCCTCGGTTCCCATGGACGCACTCTTCAGGGGAAATGACAATGGCGTCCCACGGGAGAAAAAGCCTACCAGCCACGCAGAAAACTACCCCTCCCTCTTACCAGCATCGTCGTCGGCGTCGTCTCGGCCCTCCTGATTGTTTCTTACGCGTTTCCTTCGCTTTCTCGATCCTTCTCGGTCTGACGTTCAGCTACCTGATCTTTAAACTCTCCTTGTCTCTCAGTCAACCCCTTCCATTCTTATAGGCGCAAACGGGGATACTCCGCGTCTCAAAAAATTTCCTGAAATTCAATATCCCCAACGTTTTACATAATTCATGAAAATTGAGCCAGCGGCTTTTTGGCAGAGTCCCATACTCATACCTTGTATTATAAAAGTCTGTCTCACGTGATTTTTGCGCGTATAGTAAAAATATTTTCTAATATCTAACATATACCAATTTTTAACATGTATACTTATTAACTGTCACGTTATTCTTTTCGCAAATAATTAATGATAAACAATATATTATGCATATAAATCAGTAATTAATATATTTCAATTTCTGATGTAATATTGAAATATTCGTAATAATGTTTCTAATCAAAATTACTGATCTTCTTTATGATCAAATAATTATAAAGTAGAAAATATAAATTTGTAATTGCAAGTAATTTGTAATTGTAGTGGCAAATATTACATCGTATCTATTCAGAGAAATGTAGGTAGGAAAATGTTTTTTGACATAGCAGTGGAACGATAAAGTAACCGCGTATTTCGTGCAGTATACAATGCCGCACGCAGGCCTAAAGGTCGAGAAGCACGTAGTCGGAGGTTTAATCTAGAGAAATGCTGAATAATAGAAGAGAATGGAACGGGGCTCGCGATTGGCTTATACAATATTCAGTCTTGCTTTCCGTCCAAGTTCGCGTTCTAATTAAGTTCCCGGCGTTGAAGAGCGTTAAGCATCTTGTCAACCGTTTAACTCTGGTCCCCTCTGTGCTTGCAGATTCTTCCTCAAGTTCTTTCTCAAGTGTAACCAAAACTGCCTCAAGAACGCTGGCAATCCACGCGACATGAGACGTTTTCAGGTAAGAGACTTATTTATGCTCGCTTTCAATTTATTTTAAATATGAACTTGCAATTTTTTATATGTTTAATAAATGTAATTTTATTGACATATGTATGAAAAATTTTCACAAGAAATTCTTATCTAAAATTTTCATTTTCTAAAAATAAGCACACATCACTTAAGGATTAAATTTATTTATTTGTTAAAACAATAACAAAGAATTTTTCATTAATAAGCAGAGAAATATACAATCTGAACATAGGTAAAAGAATTTTTTCCATTGACTCCAAACGCGATTTAAAGCTTTAATTGTTTCCGGCTTTCCACCCACTTAATTCAAAGACGCTTCAAATCGTGCCGCGATGCTGAAATGTACATTACGCGAGATACTTGTATCATTCAAGTCACGATTCGCGAAATTATGGGGGCGGACAGACAGAGACGAGAGTGCTGAAATTCTACCGCAACATCGAATGACGTGTTCATCGAGCATTGTTTTTTGCTCAATTTCCATATTTGCATATTGTTGCGTCATATCATTATTATTTAATAGACAGATAAAAACGGTACTGATTAAACAATAATTTTGTCAATAAGTCAACTATGATAAAAATTAAGATTCCAAATAAACGTAATTTGAAGGATTATTAAAAAACTTTCGATATCATTCCCGATTAATTTCCGCATTCGTTCAGCTTTTATCCTTTACGATGATTTTTCTCACTTAATGACAGTCACATCTCTATTCCTGGCTTCAATTTTCACTAAAATAAAAGACTAAAATTAAAAAATAAATTGCGAAAAATCATGATCCCGACAGTCCCGTCTTTCCGCGCGATCTCTCTCTGTATTGTTCGACCCTTTTAGTTCTCTCTTTTTGTACGTCGGCGCGACGACAAACTGAAATTAGAATACTCATCGCACTTTCGAATTTGCTTCAGAATTGCTTATTGTCCAAAGTTGCGAATTAAAATTTTAGTGTAGCCCTTACGAAAATTTCTCCCACCGCGGGATAGTAGAGTTATCGTCGCTTCACTCCAAGTTGGTGGTGGTGTTACTCGCCGAGTAATATCACTAGCGTGCGAGAAAGTTACAAAGTTGCGAAGGACAAAACTTTTGGGCGTTTTCCAGCCACTCGCTCGATTTTATAAACGTTCATCCTGCTTCATCGCGAAAATCTTTTCAACACCACATGCGGAGAAGGGCATAAATGTTTAAGCGAACAATTTCCTCCTAGGTTATTAAAGATTTCGTAAATAAAACTTTATGTCGCATTATATTTCTGCTAATTATATCTATAAAGAGATTTTATATGCGTAAATGTTTTAATACGATTGTATCCTATTATATCCTATATTTGCGCCATTATATCTGTGTCGTACGTGCAAGTCACGAATTGCATGCCGTGATACTCGGTGCGGCAAATCGAGTTGTCTATGCTCGTTCACAAGAGATATGATGAACTTTGCCGAGTACATGATGCGCATGAGAGAAATGCAATATGATTCACGATAACGTCTATCGCTCAGCGTACCTTCCTACACTCTATTAAGTTAGGCATAAACGATGCATTACACAAATTTTATAAGAGTACACATTTAAAAACAGTTTCTTAATCTCTATTCAAAATTATGTTTCTATAAAAAATGTTCTTAAATATATATTCTCTGGAATTTTGCGTTCAGTTAATAATTTTTATAAAAATATTTACACAAGTATATACAATGTTAAACTTTGATAGTATTTAAATGGAATGATTTATTAATATATTATATACTATTCCATTTTCAAATATTTCTATATTAATTTTATTGTTTTATCTGCAAATTTCTATTTCGTTTAACAGGTGGTCATTTCTACACAAGTGGGAGTAGAGGGTCCATTACTAGCGGTCTCCGACAACATGTTTGTTCACAATAACAGCAAGCATGGACGCAGAGCGAAGCGTTTGGATCCCAGTGATCCTGGCGAATATAATAGTAAGTATAATCGATAAATACTATCAATTAATTAATATCGTTAAAGAGATAATATATGCGGAACAGGACATCGATAACGTCTGCATATTTAATCGCATACCTGCACGAGAATTTACACGATAAATTCGATTCGCCCGTAAACACAATTGGCCCATCGTGCAGTTTTTCGTTATTTAATTTTGCAGTTAACTGCTCCACTCCGATAAATGCAACCAGCCTTCGCCGTGCTAACAAAGCACTCGCAGAAAGTATAATAATTAATTAATGGGGGCGATAATTAAAAAGCCCAATGTGCATTAAACGCCCTCATTTATTCAAGGCATCGATTTTTCACGGCTAATATGATTCACGCGCGCGAGCACTCAGCCGTTTGCCAATCAAAATCGACTTTCCGAGCGATTCGCGTTCCAGGCATCGCAATTCGAATGCTCGCGGCGTGTTGTTTCCCTCATGCAGCGCGCCCTCCGGCGAGGGGGTGGGGTCAGTCTTCTTCGAGATCGGTATAACGACTCGGGAGCTGCGGCGGAACGGAATCGTAAGAGGGTGCAGGAGGGCGCGCCGGTAGAATGGGATATATGGAGTCATAGGGCAATTCAGCAAAGTTTGGCGTCGGCCGCGCATACAAACGGCTGATATCGCGCGGCCACCCCCCCTCGGCTGCTCGCTCCTCTCGCACAGGCTTCCACTTCTTCCTCCGTCTTTTCTTCCTATGCCAAGACAAGATGTAAATCAATGGGATGCGAGAAAACGAAGGATCCACGCTCCGTTCCGCGCTCCTTGTTCCTCGGCTTTATTTTCCCTTCCACTCTGCTCGCTCGAATTTCGCCCGGTGTGCCTGTGTTCTTCCCTTCTTCTCGCCGCGGGTTCTCTTCTCCATCCGCCGCCGCGCCGGATTTCTTCTTTTTGCCTGGTTGGCTGCCGCGGAGCGCAAAGACACGAAAAGAAAGAGAGCGGAATTGGACCGCTTCTCTCATCTCGGTCTCTTCACCCCCCCTCTCTCTCTTTCTCTCTAGTACTGTTTCTCCCTCCGTCTTCTCAGGCTCTTCTTCTCGCCGTGGTTGCCGCGGCGCGTTGGTTTGTGAATGCTAAGTTTAAGCTATCTCATGCCATCCACCCTGCGACGCCAATGAAGGTACCAACACATCCACTCTTTCCAAATCCTCCCCCCCATTTCCCCTCCCCCGCCCCCTCTTCCGCGAGATGTCCCACCCCAAACGCCGAAACGAGCATACCAATGAGGTAGCAGACGCGAGAGAAAGGGGAAGAATGCCGGTATCTCGTGGATTTTGCTGTCACTGTGAACGAATTCTCCTGGTTGCTGTACAAATCAAATCTTGATTGTCCATGAAATCTGAAACGCTTGTTTACGACCCATCTTCTTCGATGCGCCGTTTTATAACACGTTCTTTATTTGACAAAGTACTGCTGCAACTTCTTATTTTATGCTTCGGAATTTGCCTCTTTTTTCAGATTTGATTTACGATGCGCGAGAAGATTATAAAGATAAACTTTAAACCTGATTCGTAAAACAGAAAGAATATTTAATATTCTTATTTATAATGCATTAAAATGAAATGCTTTAATCGCTCGAAACTTTAATCGCTAAAATTTTATGAAACGATATGAAAGAGGGAGATGCTCTAATCTAATAATAGGAAATATCATCGCGTGAGCATCATTGTAGTAACGCTTGCTTGTGCCGGGATAAAATCCGGTTTTTCTGGTAAATTTCTCGAGTCTTTACCACAGCGAACGAAGTTATCGCGCGATCTCGCAGTGATCAAAGAGAATCGGGCCGAACGTGTCGGAGTACAACGGCTCTTCGACTTCGACGATAGTTCGGTGGCAAAAGAGGGGCCTGGGAGGGTTGGGAGTAACACCCCTTACCATTCAATAGCGCGGGGGATTTTATTTATTCCGGGTTGGTACGCTTGTTCCTTGGTCTCCTCTACTGAATCCCTCTTTTCAACCCTCCGCCTCTTCTTTCCCTCTCTCCCACCGCAGCGACCCATGCCACGACGCTCGACAATTCTCTACCAGGGTGGTTGCCAACACGGCCGACTCTCTTTAACGACTTTCTCGTACATTGAACGCAATAAATACCAATGTCCCATTGAGGAAAATTCCCATTTGCATAGAGACCACACTTTTGCAACTCTTTCGTGCTTCCTTTGCGATTGTTACTTGTTGATTTAATTTTTCTTTGTTTTCTTAGAGCGTTGTATAGCATAATTTTCTCTGATGAACAAAAATATATCACATACACATAATATACAATTGTATTATAAATTATTTATCTTTTATATAATTTATGCTCGAAGTAATTTATCAATTTGATATATTATTAACGAGACGATTATTTTTGTCATTAGAACGAAAATAATTAGAATAACAAACAATCCTCACATTAATTTAAAAAAATATTATTTTGTGTGCCGACAATGTCTAGAGAATATTCTTTAAACACACCCAGCTACAGACAACGTCGGAATCTTTTAAGCCGCTGAGATTTATCGGCGTGACGGCACATAAGCACTCGAAGTGGAAAGTGTTTGAGCATCACTGGGAGCAATATACCATGATGTCAGCCACTCTGCCGTGGCTCCGCTTCGCCCAGGGTCGGTGCCGGGGGTGGCTTGGCTTCGCCGGGGTACAAAATGATATCATTGGGTTATAAATTCCAAGCAGAGACACCGGCGGCCCGATCGCCCCCTCCCCTTCCTTCTTGTTACAACCCTTCTCCGAGCACTCCAACCCTCGTCTCTTCCTCGCATTCTCTCTTTCTCTCACCATCTCATCCTCTTTCTACCGCTTTCCTTCATAGTTTCTCTTTCATTTTCCGTCTCTTTCTCACATTCACAAGCTCCACGACCTCGAAAACTTGCCTGCCACGCTGGAAAATATATCTGCCACTCGGCCTCAACCGAATAAACAGAATATTCCGATAATTTTCCATATCCTCTTGTCAATCGCAAGCAATTTTAAGAGAAAAATCATGATGTCACTTTTGACTAATTTCATCTAATTTCTAACGTCTAACTTTTTTTATTATTTTTACTTCTTATTTATAATTAGAAAATTGATGAAAACTTTAACTCTAAATGTGAGATTCATCTTTCATACCGACAATAGATTTCAACATTCCCGTGCACTTAATTATATAAATATAATTATATGCTAAGTCAATATTATTTTTGCGTTACAAAATTAGGTTTATATCCGCCAATACCTCTTCAAACGCCGTGCATAAAAGCGATATCGCCTAACGAAGGGTGGACGTCGGGTGGGTCTACCGTCATAATCATCGGCGAAAACTTCTTCGATGGATTGCAAGTAGTTTTCGGGTCGATGCTAGTCTGGAGCGAGGTCAGTGTAATTCACAGTATTACTAGAAATCTCTAATTTATAATTAATGAATTTCACGACAAGCAAACATAAAAATATTCATCTTTTTATTACAGTTTATCACCGCACATGCGATCAAAGTGCAGGCCCCGGCACGGCAGATACCCGGCGTCGTTGACGTCACGTTACATTACAAAAGCAAGCAATTTTGTAAAGGGGCACCCGGTAGATTCGTTTATGTTTGTAAGTATAAAGAAAGTCTGTACGCATTATTACGTTATCGCGAAAAAATTAACGATTGCATCCGATTACGCAATAAAAGCCATGTTTGCCGATTTCTTTCCAGCGGTAAACGAACCTACGATCGACTACGGCTTCCAAAGGTTACAGAAACTCGTTCCGCGGCATCCGGGTGACCCCGAGAAACTTCCCAAGGAGATAGTACTAAAACGGGCGGCGGATCTAGCAGAAGCCATTTATAGTATGCCCAAGGGCGGAAATATGGGGATCACGGGGGCACCCAGAAGTCCCGGTTCGGTACATGCTCCCGCGCCTCCTACATCCAGTTCAGCAACGGTCTTCAACTCGTATACAGGGCAGCTCGCGGTGACGGTGCAGGAGAACGGTAGCGCGGCGAAATGGACAGACGGTATGTATACCCTTCCTTCGAAATGTTCTTTACAAACGCTCGTACCATTCCTTTGCACGTATAGATAAATATTTATTGTAAAATTTAATGATATTTTGGAATCTTTTTGATAAAGACTTGCATCAATCAAGACGAGGCAATTAAATTTGCTAGGCAACCAGTCACGACCTAAGTGATCAAATACTGACGAGTTCGTCTGACGGGCAGGTTTCTATTTCTAGACGGTAGTTCCGTGACGACAGGAGCTGCTGCCGATGGAGGAGGTGGTGGCGGCGGCGGCGCCGGCAGCGGTGGCAGCGTCGGAGCCAATGTCGGTAGTAGTACCGACGCCTACAGACAAAGCAGCAGTGCCAGTCCACGTGGTGTCGTAACTGGCGGTGGTTATTGCGGTAGTTCAGCCAGCACACCACACAGTCACAGTACCAATGGAAGTTATTCTGTCGCCAATCCGTACACCGGCAGCCCGACTCTCTACCCATCGCGTAAGTATCTTACTCCTTCACTTTTCATGCGGACAATCTTGTCTTTATGCGGAATTGCGAAGATATCTACGGAATTTGAGTTGTGTCGGGATAAAATCCCGGTTTTATAAAGTCATTTTTCCTCTTAAATGCAATTCACGTATTGTAAGATTCAGATGACAACAGCACAAATAACTGCATTGCAGTGAAAAAACTGCTATAAATGTGTAATAACTCAGCTTTATAAGATCAATTAAATATATTCTTGTATAATGTATGCTAAATAATAATCATTTTTTATTTTTAGGTTTTTTTTAATTTTGCCCAATCTTACATTTTTTTTCTTATGGATAAATAACAATCGTGTTAATAATATTAATAATATTAATCTAAAATTAATAATATTAATCTAAACAGATTAAAAATAAAAAGATCCTTTGTTAGCATCGATATCGTCGGCACAATTCAAAGAGAACCTAACGCCACATCCACGTATCCAGCACGCATGCTCTTCTTCTATTTTAGCGTTACTTTTCAATGCATGCACTTATGATTTTCCCTTATGTGGAAATTTCATTTTAGCGCACGAACAATACAGCCTATTCTATACCGGGGACGGGAGTGCGTTCGCCCCCGTAGTACGACCACCGACCACCTCAGTCCCACCGCACTGGTCCACACCGCACCACCTCGCCACAGCCGCCCAGTAACCGCTAACCGTCCACCATCACCACCAACACCACCATCATCACAACCATCACCTTATGCACTGCGATTAAAGAATTTTGAGAGACGACATTTGAGAATGTATGTAAGCTCATTTACGACGCGATAATGTTATATTGATTTAGTTGCAAGAAACATTGGCGATTATTTTCGTTAGAATTAAACGTCAGCTTTCTCTCTTGTTTCACGTTATTGTGCTATAAAGCTTTTTATAATTAATAAAAAATATTTTTTAATTAATTTTTATTTATATATTTTTTTGACAAAATTATTTTAAATAAACGAATGTGTTTTATAACGAGAAAAATTATTTTTGTTGGAATAAAATTGTAATAATACATATACATATGCACAAAACATTTACTAAATGGCTATAATCATTACGATGTTCAATTTCCCAATTTATATTTGCAGAGCAATTCTATACACATTTTTTATATATTCTCTATCTGCTATCTACTTGTCGAGAATTCCATGAATCTCTGTCGTTGTTTGTAATATATAAATATATTACAAACTATTACTTAGCTTAAGAATAAAAAGTTTTCAATAAAAAGCAGAAAATATAAAAAACAATCATTTATGCACAAACAATAATCCCGAAAAAAAAGAACGAGCGTCAACTTTTCAATTATCTCTCAATTCTCACATCAATTTCTCTATAAAATAAGCAATTATTCTTCGCATGAATATTTTGCTATCGATTCATGGACATTCTCTTCACAACTTTATTCGAACAATTTTATCATCGTAAATTTAAAATTATTATGTGCTTTTCACTGCTTATTTTATTATTGGTTGTGCTATAGCACTTAAGCAATAATGCATTACTAATGTATAACTGACAGTGGGTATGTTGCAGGACTAGGAGAAGTGGTTGGATCACCTTTCAACATGAACCCGTTTATGTTGCCCACATGCAACCAGGGATATTCAACCGCTGCCAGTCCATTGCTTTCGTCAAACGGCAAATAGTGTTACGAGATGTAAGCTCCGACGAAAATGTCATGAACACCAATCTTCGCGGAGACATTGCATACGAGCTAATGAATTAATACGTGCCATCGCGTCTAGATAATTATTCAGATAATTGTAAACTATCTGCGTAATTTTTTCGTATTGACGCTCGTACATTGCCTTCGCGAATTGTAATCATATACTTATGTGCGACTTTATTCTCTTTTATACTTTTTTTGTGATAAAAAGAGAAGGATAGTCGCATATGCGTTTCCATCATCATTTTCGTCGGAGTTGAGATCAACGAGTTCGTAAGAAATTGTGAAAATCAGTGCAAAAATCTGTAACAACTATCTTGCATCGATCACTAATGATCGCACTAATTAAGAAACAATACATATCGAACAACGAGAAGGTGTCTTTTTAAACATAATAGCTCGATCATACGATGGCTCCAATAATTCTTAAAAAAGAATATTTTTTTTGTTTTTTATAACAATATTCTAGCAATTTATAATTAATGGTAAATAGTTACAAATAAAATGAATTTGAAAGTACTTATAATGTAATTTTAATTCTATTGCTGTTGCAGCGATTCATGAATTATCTATTACTATAAAAGTTGTTTGAAAAACATCAATGATTAATATTCTTCATCGATTATATCATTACTATAGAATAATTGCCTATATTTAATATTATTGACGAGCAATGTTTTTGATAATTATCTATATTATAAAATATTTTTATTTTGCATTTTACAAAATGTTTACAAAGATTAAATGAATTATAAATTTGAGAGCCATTCGTATGAATCGAGTGAAAAAGTTAAGATGGTATCAAATGTTTTATATCATTCGAACTAGCAATTCTGATGATCGAAAGAAACTGACACCGCTCGACGGACATATCGCTTATCAATGAATAACAGATACCATAGTTTTAGAGAGCATTTTCGACTTCAAAATTTTAACTTCCTACCCCTACGATTAATAATTAATCAATATCGCCTAGTTAATGTAACATGTAACTTATAATTTGTAAAATATCTGTAAATATTGTTGCACGTGTACAAAAAGAAAACTATTTCCAGGAATTCAACGAAATGACATTAACGTCATTCTCTAGAGTGAAAATTATTATACATAGATGTAAATAAACGTAGAGAGCGTATGTAGCGCATCCGTATTATTGTATCAGCGCCATCCAATTTTTTAACGTATCCGATCGCACGAATTGGCGTCTCCGTATCCATTTCGCAGACGAACACAATTAAATTTGTTGTAATCCGTTCCATATTTTTCGCTTTAAAGCAAAAGCTAGATAAATGACTGGCATCTGAGATCGGATCCAAATTAGGCTGACGAAAACGTTAAAAAATTGGATCGAACGCGACCTGTATAAAACGTATATACATAGTTGATTTTGATCGTTTGATAAGAGCCAGTCCGAAACAAAAAAAAATCTCATACAACTTACGAAAGTATACGAAACATATATCAGATTGAAATCCCCCAGTTAGTCCCAAAAGTTTTACAGCAGTTCACGAGCATAGTTCATATCGTTTGCGGAAATGTTAAAAATTATTATTATTATTATTATTATAAAAAGTTCCTTTTTGCATATCGACTTGGTATGCGCTTTTCTCTTGAGAAGAGTGCATTCTTCGTCTCGGAGCCCGCACGCTCTGTGATCTTGTGATGTTGATTATATACATGTATATTGATTGTAACCTTAGTTCAATCGTCACGTCACGTCATCTTTTACGAGACGCGTTGTTCTTATACGCACGCAAAAACACAACACGCACACTCGCGCGTATGGAGACACTCGTCTCTCTCGGTGTATATTGAAATAAATTAAACTTACTTTTTGAGAACTAAAGATCTTGATGATAGAAAAGATTTTCTATTCTATATGCCATCCTTTGCTCACATTATCCTTGTCTTTAATAATAATCAATTGTACGCAATTATGATATGACAAGTATTAAATCGTAATTGCTTTCAAATTACAATTATCAGTATTGTTTTAAATTAGGAAATATTTATGTATAATTAATTTTTTCTATTAAAAAATTATGATATACATATATTTTCAAACATTATAAAAAAATTTCAAATATATATATAATAAAAGAAATTATATTAATTGTTTATTTATTTAAATCAAAAGAATAGTAAACAATAACGCGAAGAGAATTTATTTATTATATAAAACATTATAATTTTCTCATATGCAGAAAATAATATTTCTAATACATATCTATCGGAGAAGAATTATTTTCAGTATTATAAGATATATTATACGAATTTACAAGAGGAAGAACAGAAAGTATTTTGCATAATATGTTAATCGTCAAACTCAGTTGGGCCTATTTACCCTAGAAGAAAGCAAGCCGGAATCAACAAATAGCGAAACAGGATCTGGAGGACCACTCTCAAGCGATTAGTTCACATGGTGTCCCATTACCTCCTGCTGCCAAACGATGGCGTATATGATGCACGTTATTGTGGGGCTGTTTGTGTTATTAGATTTAGATTGGCCGGCACGTGGCAGGGGTGACGCGTGCCACATTGCAAACGTTACAACGTGGGTACAATACAAAATCGTTTTTCTTCAAATACTGGTTTCTTTGGCTTCCCATAGAAGAGTATCGATTTTCACTTGCGCACGGTCAACACGCTGTTACAATAACGCCCTAATTTTCTCTCTCTCTCTCTCTCTCTCTCTCTCTCTCTCTCTGGTATACGTATAATTTATTTAAAAAATACGTATTTCGTGCGAATTAAAGGTAAATTAAGAGTTTCTCTATTGTTTAAAATTAAAAAAGAAGAAAATAAAATTCCACTCAATTATATAATTCTTGTTATATAACTAATTGTGAATTAATTTAGTAAAATATATTAATTTAATAAAAGATAAGTTTGCAAATTTTGTGCAATTTTATATTTTAATTCCTTTGTAGTCCCTAGCTTATACACGCACATATAGGCGCTTTAACATTGCGATCTGTCAGCTTAATTTTTTGACACGTGCTCTCATTTGATATAAAACCCTATGCAATCTACCGCAATCTAATTGGAATCTATGAAAAGAATACAAAATGTGCAACTGTTAAAAAATCAAGAAAGAAATCTATATTACTTTTTAGTTTTTCTCTCTTCTCTTTATTTTTTCTCTCTTCTCTCTAGTTTTTATGAATATACAATATTACATATGTTATATGGAAGTTAAATATTTACTTTATCTTAATTTTTGAAAAATTTATAAATAATTAATCTATTAAAAAATCCATAAGAAATTATAAATTTTTCTGGAAACTCTTATCTTTTGCACTTATCATCAGAGGCTGTCTATGGTTTATCACAGCATCGCCATGCATTGTCGTTATCATCATTATGTTATCGAGGCTGAGCTCAGGTTGCGTGTCAAAGGGGATGAACACTCAGGCGAGCTGGGATAAGAGCAATCCTGTGATCCACCCCTGACAGTTAATCGCGATAAGATCTACTCGTGCAACGAGTCGGCTCCATTCATATTCTGTTTGCTTTCTGGATCCTACGACGTCGCAAGTCCATTGTACTTCCGATGTGATGTGAAAGAATATTACCATCTGCTTATATTACCGATAATCTTCATTCAATAGTATCGAATTTCTCTGACCTTGTCAGAATAGTAATCTCGTCAACGAACGATATGCGAAGTGCATTTTGTATGCTTCTTCAAGCACAGCCTAATAAATGATTTATGCATTCGATTTTGTAAAAAATATAATCAGCGAACATATCCAAACAAGTAAAAAAAGTGCAAAAATATATGAGAAATAATCTTCCCTCTATAAAAAAAGGCATATTACATCGATAATCTAAAAGTGTATTGTTGTCTCTTTTTCGTGATGCTTATTGACTTATGCGCTGCGATTTGCTTCATTCGTATTATTTGCAGCTGTCAAATCATGCAAATTTTCAAATGTTTATGTAAAAAGAAATAAAATTAAAAAATGTTAAAGAAAAAGTTAAAGAAAGAAAAATGTAAAATATATTCTCACCGTACTTACTTCGTGAGTTGTCAATTCGTACAGTATATATAGCTTGACAATATTACACATTCAATAGTAGAAAAATTAAATAAATTTGTTCATAATTAACTTTTTTTTTGCTATACGAAGGTTATCCGTTTCTTTTGGATTATTTCAAGATTCTTTCAAAAGAATTGATATTTTTTAATGTTTTAGTGTTTTTCAAAAAATTGAAATGCTATTTAAATATAAAACTAGTATTAAAAATGATAACGATCAATCAAAAATAAAATCTGTTAAAGATAATAAAATATATTGTAGATAAAAACTAAAGATTTGAAAAATAAAAGAGATATTGTTGACAAATCTTAAAAAGCTTTTCATACATTTAATTTAATAAAATTTATTTAAATTATTATTGAAATTGTTATTAAATCTTTCTCTTCTCCCTCTCTCGTAATATTTATATTAAAATTATATACATATATATTAATAATATTCACATACAATATTATATATATAAATAATATTTACATATAATATATTAATAATGTAATAATAAGTGATAATTAAAATAAATATAAAATAAAATAATTAAAATATACGTAAAAGCGAGAATACAAAATATATTGATTATTTGAAAATTCCAAATTATATATTAATAATTTAATTAGTAAAAAAATAATATTTTAAAATAATTTTAAATTATGTTTTATGGCAAAGTACAATTTTATCTATTTCTAAATGCATTATAAAATAATTATACCCTATATGTCTATTTAAAAATTTTAAAAAACGTAATAATTTTTTAACTATATGATTACGTTATATTATTAAAAAATTGTTATCATAACTAATTTCATATCATACTTAATATATACATACAATATATATATTACACATCATTATAATACATCGTGGAAGGTTAACTAACACATCGAGCTAGGTTGGCCGAGCGGTCTAAGGCGCCAGACTTAAGTTCTGGTTCCCATCTGGGAGCGTGGGTTCGAACCCCACACCTGGCAAAATTTTTTTTTATAAAGTATTTGGAAATGAATAAAACTATTATTAAATTTTGCGAAATATTATAATAAAGTCATAAAATATAATTAATTAAGTCATTAAAATAATTCCTATTTGAGATTTACAAATATTCGGTATTTTTTCTTGTATTTACAATTTTATATTTTCTCATTCGTTAATATATTTTTAGGAAATTAGAGTCACATATAACACATTAATGATACGAGATAATGTTATCAATTTTAAGCATTTTCTTAAAATGTATTAATCTAAAAATATTTTCATTATATTTTTATCGTCTTTTGCTTCATATATTGTACAGAGTTATTTTACAATTTAAAAATATCCGTAATATATCTTATAATTATATAAGTAATAAGTAATTATAAGTAATAAATAAAAACAATTACATAATAATAAAAAGAATTAAATAATA